CGAGCCGCTCAACCCCATGTTCAAGAAAAAACGTTCGCAGCCTGCAAAATTAAATTTGCACAAGTTAAAATTAATAAAACGTTTCCTATTGACAAAGGTGTATTTGAACAAACCGCTCAATCTTACGCTCAAGAAAATTATACTTTGTATTAAATTAAATTGCTTCATAATATTCATTAAGTCAAGTTTGTAAAAAATAAAAGGTGTATCTTCATAGGTGATCCATCCCCATGAAGAGACGTGTGGGCACTTCGACGAGGAGTTGGATCTTAAAATGGACCACCTAGGCACTCACAAAGTGTGGCACGTGCCTCTAATAATAAAATTTGTTAAGGAAGCCTCAGTATGGCAAGCGAACTTCCAATACTGGTAAAAATTACAAATAAGCAAAGTCTTGAACAAAAGTTTGAAGTGGTTAAAAGCTTCAATTATTGAAGTTCGATGTGTATAGATTCAGAAACTTATGAAGGTACACAACCTTCTGACAATTATGCAAAATAATAAGTTTGATGTTATTATTGAAGTGGAAGTAGTTCGAACTGTACTGAAGAGCATTACAATATATTAAACAAAAGCATTGGGTACAAAAATAAATGACACAAGTATGAGCAAAATAGAGTTTTATTTATTTAACAAGAATTTACAATTGTGGGCTGAAGCCATTTACATAGAAAATACAAAAAAAAAATGAAAACGGACCTATCTATATAGGTGGGGGAGGGGAGCTACAAAACAAACATTCGCATCAGGTGCCATTGCCTCGTCTTCAATTTCTATCACTTGGCTACCTTCAGCAGGAGTTTGAGACTCTTGTTCTCCCTCCTCCAGGAATTCTGACCGTAACTCTGAGGTTTTGATGCCCTGGACTTTCATCTCAAACTATTTCCCCATCTCAGTATAGGCATACTTCCGCCAATACTTTGTAAAACTTTGGTATGCCTTTGTCAAATTGAAGTTTGCGGTGTAGTGCTTGACGACGTCAATCCTAGTTGATTGAGCTTCTTGTCGAGCCATCTCCACCTTTTCTGTTAGGCCAGATATTTTTGAGTTCAACTCTCCCAACTGCTCTTTTAGAGCAACATTCTCTTTATTAGCCTTCTTCAAGGCTTTAGTTGCTAGCCTTTGGTATACATCAGACGTCTCTACTCTCTTCGTAAGTGGGGTCACTTCACTCTGAGACAAGTGAACCTCATTTTTTAAGTTTTCGATTTCTGCTAAGGTAGAAGCGAGTTTCAGGAACTCCTCAGTATTTTTCTACTTCAGAGCTCTAGCCTCTACTTTGTCTTAGGTGGCAGCCTCATCAGCCTAGGAGGCCTTAATCGTAAACTCACAATTTTTACATTGAAGTTGTTAAAGAAGGCTTTAGCTTCTATGGGTCACCAAGGCCGTCACCGCCTGGCTTACCATCGTGGAAAATAAGTGTACGGCATCGCTGGTCTCGACGAAGGATTGCCACCTCTCCGTCCAGTACCTGTGGAAGATAATATTTTCTTTTTGGACTTTAGGTGAGATGAGGACAAGAGCCTGCAGAGCCAATTAATCACTCCTCTTCTTGACGACAATTTTGGATAGATGAGAAGTAGAAGCGGTGGAGTCATTTGTAGAACTTACCTTTTTTTAAGAGTCCTGCCTTTGAGGCTCCATGGCAGGTGGCCTTTTCTTCCCCCTAGAGACCACAGCTATGGATGTTGCTAATAGATTTTCCCCAATAGGGACGTTGGAGTGAGGATGAGGGACATCATTCGAACTACCCAATGGTGGAGAATCTATGTTTTTTCTTGGGGACCTCCTCAGCAATTTTCTTCACCTTGTCTTTTAGGGGAGGCCGCCTTTCATGTTGACTGCCAACCTCCCGACAAACCTTCTCTACTTAGCCCATCACTTGTTTGGCCGCAACAGATGAGGGCTTTAGGTACTTTCTTTCGGAGGTGAAGGTGGCAGCGAGAATGGTGGCCATGTCCGGAGTGGGGTGCCTTCTTTTCTCAAAACTTTCTGCGTAGGAAAATGAGGTCAGAAACAATCATGTAAATATAAAAACGAAGCTTAATGAGGAGAAAAGAGTACTTCCCTGGGCCATTAAGCAGAATTCTTCAAAAAAAACTCCTTGAGAGAGGATGAGGGTCGACGATAGATGTTAATTAAAGTCTCCCAATAACTCTCATTCAGTTTGAGTGCTTAACCGACCTTGCAAAACAACAAGAAAATGTTAACATCAGATTCATCCATACAAAGAAATCAAAAAGCAGAAATAACATTTACGGGGTTCGGAGTAGGAGGTCAGAACTTTCATGTGAGGGATAGTATCACCCTCACATTCCTTCCATCTTTTGATGAAGGAAGGAAGGGCCAGGGCAAAGGGGAAATGTAATCCCCACTGATAGAGAGAGTACCACCCTTTTGAGTCCCATTTCCCCAGGACCTGAGGTTGAAAGACAGTTTGAAAAACGTAGAGAGTCATGTCCTCTCCAAGTGAAGTTTCCCTCTAGATGAAGTAGGTCCCCACTAATTAGGCCCAAGCATGGGGGACGAGCTAGGTAGTGGCCTGCCCGTACAGCTTTAAAGAATGGATGTAAAGGTAGGTGAAGCCCAACCTTTAGGAGGAACTCGCTGATAGCGATGCATCCCTGCTTGCCTCGGAAAGCAGGCTTGCTCAACCGGAGTAGGGGAAATGAGTTCCATATCAAACAGAATACGGTACTTTTTCCTAAGGTTGGCTAGGTAGGTTGGATTTACAGATGAATGAATTTTGGTTGCCCCAAACTATTTCTTTATTTTTCCTACCCCCTAGAAGGCAGCACACTTTGTTCAGCCTGAATGGCTCGGACCAAGTCTGCCGTGCTAGTGATTTCAACTCCCATTTCAGCTGCTACTTTGCTAATATCTACGTCTCGCGCAATAGAGTTGGAAAATACCATTGATTTAGATTCTTAAGTTAAAATAAAAAAGATACTTACGAATTGAAGCAAAAAATGTTGAAGGAAAACCACCAAAGGTTATGAATGCAGAAAAAGAGAAGGAAAAACTTAGGGTTTTGAAGAATTTGAATGATGAATTTGTGAAAGACAAAGTGATTTTCTGCCATGGATACTCGCATTTTATAGACAGGCTCTCAATCCCAGCCGTTGGATGTCGATCAGGATCATCTAACTATTCATTTAAAATTTTAATCTGAACCACTCAAAACATTAGCCGATTCGTCTTCTACGGTCCAGATCAGAGCATCTACCTCACGTACTTTCATGCGCCTGAACTTCACAAGACTTGTGCACAACAGCCGTCATTATACATTAAATGTGTCGACAATTGTGTACGTGGGAAGTTGAACCGTTTTAGCTATTCTTTCTTGAATCATACAAAGACAGCAAATCATTTGGGTGCAATAATTGAGGACGCCTCGTGTTCCACAAATGGTTTAAATTCAGGCTCCTCGTAATTAGCAAGTTAAATACATAACAAAGGTCATAGCCACTTCTCATCAACCCGTTCGGATAAGGGTTCGGATGTGCAAAGGCACTTCGGACGATATAGCCTCGAAATTAATTCGCTTCGCTGACACTCCTCAGAATTGTTCCAAAAAGAGAAATATCTCAAAGTATACAACTTTGGACAACACAGGCAAATAGTTCGCACAAGTTAGGTACACTTAAATTCTAATTATAACATAAATGTTTATACTTAGATTAGGGGGACTATTGTGACGGTAAAAACCACCCGCCAATAAATGTTTTTACATATACAAGTCCCTGCATTACATATATAATCATGCCTAAACTTGAGAGACTATTGTTACGCCTCGCCACTGAGGCTCAAGTTAAAATGTCACGTAGAAATCCACATGGGCAGAAAAGTCAACAAAGACCCAATGGTCAAAGATAAAGAAATCATATGAATGGCAGAAACTCTTACGTCGAAGCACTGCCCAAACGGCTGAAGAGCGTGAATCCGAAGTGCTACATAGAGAAATGGAAGAAATCGAAGCTCTTCACACAAAAAACCAACACTAAGATTCCTTCGAGTCCCCTAATTCACTTGAAGCTCAAGAAGCTGAACCTGCCTCTAACAAGACCCTTATGCAATCTTTAGAAACAATTGATGTAACATTTGTAATAAAGAATGCCAGGTATATTAACCTATTGTATAGGGTGGTTGACCCATTGTCGAGGTATTTATTGTATGATAGACACTGATGTGAAACCTTAGTCAAGGAGATAAGATCACGTGGTTCTGATCCAATGGACACCACATTGGTTGAAGCCTATACTTAGGTCATCCTTGTAACTGAAAAATGGTTGGATTCTTGGACCCTTGATCCTTGATAATAGAAATGATCTTGCAAATTCTATACACATCATATTGTTTTTTTCATATACATTAGTTTGATCTTTTTATTGGTTTACTTTGGTATTCGATTGGTAATTGTTATTAGTGCAACATTCTTTGTTTCACCTGCCAGTGCTTGAATACTTTTATCTCACACCGTAAAGTATCTCCCGTGTTCACGTTTATCCCGCTTCTTACCGGTGCTGTGGTTGAAACGCGCCGAAATTTGCTTGACTAGATGTAAGTGGGCCGGTATCAGTTGTCCACATAAGCGTCACGTTTTTCGGGATCAACCAAATTCATTTTATTAACCACATACTCTCTATTTACAGTAATTCCTCAAACATTTTCAACAATTTTGAAGACTCGTATACAATTTTTTAACATTCAAAATGGAATTGGTCTGTTTTTCGACTTGTATACTTTTAGCATGTTGTAAAGAAATAGGAAAAAAATACAGAACGTAATATTACTTGTAAACGTAAATTACTTACTAGAATTTTCCTTGTTTCAGATAAGTGACGCCTCATACAGACAACCAAGTGAGATCACAAACAGACCCACTGTAAGTTATCCAAACTTCTGAAATATTTATTTTAAAAAATAAAAAATATATATAAATCATTTAAAAATTAGAAATAACATATATATAATATTCATGATTCAATTTAATTCAGGCAATGCGATTTACTAATTGTACCACACTTCAAGTGAGTGGACTGAAGCATATTAACAGCCCAAGGAATCATGTCACCCTGTTCTACTGCAATGGAGTAAACATTGCACATATTCATATTATTGCCCCTCAAACAAGTCCCAACACTGATGGAATTGAGATAGGCTATTCCACCAGCATTCAAATTCTTGACAGTACAATAGAAACAGGTACTACTTTATTCCATATCCATTTTTCTGCCTCTTGCTTTTCTTGTACGTACATTATTATTAATTTTTAATATTTATTCTCATAAATTATATTACTCGTATCGTAAAAAGGAGACGATTGTGTCGCCATCAATGGGGGTACTTCGAATGTGAACATAACCCAAGTTGCATGTGGTCCTGGCCATGGAATAAGGTTTGTTTCCAATCATTCGACTTATAAATATTTCATCGCTCGCAAAACTCGAGAGTGATAGAAACTTGAACCTATTAAATTGTCCTCTGTTTTGGCAGTATTGGAAGTTTAGGACTAAATGGAGCGCATGATGAAGTACAAGGAATAAATGTAAACAGTTGCAGTTTTAAGGGAACTCAAAATGGAGTAAGAATCAAAACATGGCAGGTGAGAACTGAGAAGAGCTGAGGAGAATCATGAAATGTAATTAAAATACATTAACATTTTTCCAAGTACAACGTTTTATCATTTATTTTTGTTTCTTCTTATGTAGGGAGGTTCTGGATTTGCCAGGAAGATAAGCTTCTCAGACATAACATTAATAGCAGCTGATAACCCTATTATCATTGACCAGTTTTATTGCAACGGCAAAGTATGCCAGACCACCAAAGTAAGCAACTTCAGCCAAGCTTTTCTGTGACTTTTCTTTTATTTCGTGGGGTGTGTGTGGGTTGGGGGGGGGGGGGGGGTTTGAGTTGTTTGGGGGGGGTGGGGGGGGGGTGGCGGGGGGGGGGGGTGGGGGGGGGTGGGGGGTTTGGGGTTAATTTGGGGGGTGGGGGGGGGGGGGGGGGGGGGGGGGGGTGGGTGGGGGGGGGGGGGGTGTATTCAAGCACTCCATTGAGATAAATAAATAAAAGTTATCTATTAGAGTGTAGATTCATATTCTTCATTTGTATTGTTCCCTAGGTTAATTTCCTAAATGGTCACTCAACTTTTCTTAAATTTCTCATGGGGTCGCTGAACTTAAAAACTTAAAAACTGTCCCGTAAGTCGCTTAACTTTGAAAATTAGTATCTCATCCATCACTGCGTAAACGATACTTGTAAAATTGGAAGGAATTGATGACTCGACCGTGAGCCAACAGGTATGTGATCGTTTTTTATTCTCGAATCGTCAAATTAATAATTAGGTTTTTTTTTAATGACTGTTGAATGCATAGTTTTATCCAAATGTAGAACTTTTTGAAATTTGAATTCCATAAACTTTATGAGCCGAATTACTATAGTTTCTAACTAATTATAGCACAATTTATGTAAAAATTTGATTTATAGTTTTCAAATGCGTGTCATGTAAGCCATATCGTTAGATATGTCATCAAATCATTCCAATTTTGCAAACATCATTTACACAGTAATAGATGTGGTACCAATTTTCAATGTTAAGCGACTAATGGGGGCAATTTTTAAGTTTTGGCCCCATGCGAATTTTATGAAAAGTTTAGTAACCATTTAGGAAATTAACTCGTTCACTGACCTAGTTTTCTTTTCCCCTTAATAGGCATCAGCTGTCAAAGTTAGTGATGTGAGATACACTCGAATTCGAGGAACAACAATTTGCAAGAAAGCTACTATCAACATTAGTTGCAGCAGTACTGTTCCTTGCACTAATATCATCTTGAATAATATCAACATAACATCTGTTGCTCCAAAGCAACCACCCTTTACCCGCTGCGTCAATGCCCATGCAATAGTTCATCTAACAGAACCACCGGTAAAATGTTGAGCACATATTGAAAGCACTCTGAGATAAGTAACCCCAACTTAGATTTTAATTAATTCCATTAAAAGATAGGTGTCTCAGCTTGGATGCTACTAGATTATGTAATATTTTAGGTGTTCCCAATAACATTGCGGATTTATGAGGATTTCAAAAATAAGAAGGATTTTAATAGATTTTGAGCACATCACTTGTTTCTTTCAAAAAATTCATTTCAATTTGTGCATAATGAGTGATCAAAGTAAAAAGGCCCAAAATACATGTTATGAGCTACATTAAAATAAAATAATTAGATTTATATTTGTGATATAACAATATTTTTACGCCAAAACTTTCAAGATACAAACTCTTTCTCATTTTTAATCCATAAAAACATTCTCTTGTTTTCACATTAACTATGAAATTGAAATTTTTTAATTGAAGTGGACGTCAAGAAGAATTCAATTTGAAATGCTATTGGAGTCCTATGTCAAGTTGAAATTCTATTTTTGAAGCCCATTGAGAGTTGAAATTTGTTTTGGACTCGATTTTTTGGTATCATACTTCATCAATAATTCTACTGGGAGGGTTTGAATATTACCTACATGTTCCCTATAAATATTAGGTTTTCTATACAATTTCGTAGTGTGAGAAAAGAAAGTACTAGAACTTTAGGATCAATTGTATTTTTCTCCACTATTATTGATGTAATAAAATATCCTAATACCTTTACTATATTTTCTATCTTCTTTTATTTGTAATCAAATATTTCATTATTGTGCCATATAAATTCAACAACTCAATCTGGTGGTTGGTTTCATATCAGTGGTATTGAGCGATACGTGATCCTTGAATTTCCAACAATTGGTATCATATATTCTCGGCATTATTAACACAACAAGTGGTGTCAAAGCCTAGGTTCAGCAGTTCCACAGAGCGCAATTCTTTAAAGTCCCAACAATTGGTATTAGAGATTCCTGGCATAATTTACACAACAAGTGGTATCAGAGCGAAGGGTCAGCAGTTCCACAGAGCGCAAGGTTTGATTTGTTCGAGATTTTTGTTCATGTTGGCTTCCATGAAGTATGACATTCCGCTTTTGAATTGGAGCACTAGATTTTCGCTATGGTAAGTTAAGATGCACGCAGTACTCGTACAGCTTGATTTGGATGATGCTTTACTGAGAATTGACAAGATGCCCTCAACTTTGATCGCGGAGGATAAATTACGGAAGGATAAGAAGACAGTTTCTCATGTTCATTGGTCTAGAACTAGAACTAAAACTTTGACCGCTGAGGCCAAAATTCACATTTGATGAACTAGAACTAAATGAGGGAACACTAGTATTGGTCTCTAAATAACTCCATATATTATCTACATTTGTTGAAGTGTTTTTTGAAAAAGAATTTTGGGAAGAACTACACTGACCTTCTTTTTCAGCGTAATAGTTATACATTTCGCATAACATTGATTCTATATTCGTATGT